AGATTCTTTCGTTCCCTCTTATTGTTTGCAGCTATCATGAATATAGTTCTGTCTCAGCCATGTGGGAAGATCTTTGTAGGGGACCCTCACCAGCAGATCTATACCTTCCGTGGTGCAGTCAACGCTCTGTTTACAGTCCCTCACACCCATGTCTTCTATCTCACACAGGTAAGAGCTCTCTTTGCTCCTGAAGCACATAAACAAGCATTGTAGTTCACTATCCTTGTTTTTCAGTGGTTACTATGTGCTAGGACCTGTGCCAGGTTTTGTGTCAGTCTCACAGTATGTAGCCACTCCTTGCTTCTAAGCAGTGGTTCGCTGTGGTTCTCAGGGTATCTGCAAAACCCAATGGTTTTTATAATAGTAATTTGCTTTTTTCATTATGTTAACATTTGAACTGATGATGCAGAGCAATGGTGGGTGAAACTGCTGGTGCCTTCTCATGGACTGAGGCGTTGGCATCGAACAGTACTAGCAGGCATTGTATTCTTTACTTCAGTACACTTACAGAGTTTAAAAACAAAAAGCAACAAGAACTCCCCCCCCCCACTCCCCTAAAAACCCAAAACAAAATAGTTCTCTTAAAAATGTACTTGATACAGAAAAAATGAATAATTTTATTAACTGCTGTCCCTTGAGGACATACATCTTTTTAATGTGATGAAGTGGGAGGTATGAATAAAGTACTTCTGCCCACTGAAGTATGTTGGTTGTCTAATGAAGAGCACTTTTGTGATTGAGTTGTGAGCTACACTGGCAGCTATTTTCTTATAGTACCATTTGTCATTGAAAGAACAGCTGACCGACCAACTCTGATTATTCAGATTTGGGTTTTTAGCATTTTCTCTAAAATGAATGAAATGAGCTATGACTTGTTGCCAAGTGGGGGACCAGGAGCAAGTGATAAAAGCGGGGGGAAATCTTTGTTTTCAAGTGAAATCTAAATTTTGATGTCTGCCACTATGAGCATGACAACCCATGGTGTCCTTGATTGTCCAAAAAGGTTACTAAACTCGCCTCCCCTTTTCAATATGCATGTGTGTAAGGCTGAATTTTCTTTATCTTTCAACCAAAACAACATGTCACCACAGATAGAATGTAGATAGAACTGAGAATTCAGCTGTCTTCTATTCAGCTTGGCATTAAAGAGATTTGCAAAAATGTAAAACATAGACACTTTTTCTTCCTGCTAAATGTTTTTTGTTTTAGAAAATATATTTTAAAAGTATGTTCTTTATGTCATTATGCAATTGGGTTTATTATTATTATTTTGAATGAATTAAAGTTTCTAATGTGGTAACATAGTTAGATACAACTCATAAATAAAAGCTCCTTCAGAACCTCAGCAATTTTTAAAAGGGTAAAGAGGTGCAAGAACCACTGTTTTTAAGAAACACTTCCAGTTAGAGGCTATGAGATGTGCCAACTATTCAAGAATAATCTGAACTGTTTTGTTCTGTTATAGAATCCTGCAACCTTCTCTGTGACTTTATTCTTTTGAGTTCCTGTTGTATTCTAGGGTGATTTAGGATAATGTCAACTCAGAGTAACTTTTTTTAATAGACATTTTCAGATTTACAGAAGAATTGAGATAGTAGTATAAAAATTTCCCATATGCCATGCATTCAGTTTACCCTATCCTATATAATAAAAGCATAATATGCTAAGTGTCCGACCGGTCACTATGACGTGCACTCACCACCAGAGGGCTGATGCTCCAACTGGTAGGTTAGCTTGCTGCTGGGGTCTGGCCGATGGGGACTGAGCGAGAGGGCTGGACACTCCCTGGAGCCCTCCTGCGGTCCCTCCCCGGCCAGCCTTGATTGGCCCTTATTGAGACTGGGTGAGATGACCCTGATTGGCCTGGATTGCTGGCCAGTCCAAGGGACCCCACCCGTGCACGAATTTGTGCACCCGTCCTCTAGTTATTTTTTTTTAAATTAAATCTTTATTGTTCAGATTATTACATTAGTTACTCTTTTTTCCCACCATAACTCCCCTCCACCCAGTTCCCAACCCACCCACCGCCCTCCCCACCCACTGTCCCCACCCACTGTCCTCATGCATGATTATTGTCTAGTCTCTTCCCTCACTCCCCACATCCGTTCCCCCCCCAAGAATAGTCAGTCCATTCCCATTCTATGTCCCTGATTCTATTACAATCACCAGTTCATGCTGTTCATCAGATTATTTATTCACTTGATTTTTAGATTCACTTGTTGATAGATGTGTATTTGTTGTTCATAATTTGTATCTTTACCTTTTTCTTCTTCTTCCTCTTCTTAAAGGATACCTTTCAGCATTTCATATAATACTGGTTTGGTGGTGATGAACTCCTTTAGCTTTTCCTTATCTGTGAAGCTCTTTACCTGGCCTTCACTTCTGAATGATAGCTTTGCTGGATAAAGTAATCTTGGTTGTAGGTTCTTGGTATTCATCACTTTGAATATTTCTTGCCACTCCCTTCTGGCCTGCAAAGTTTCTGTTGAGAAATCAGCTGACAGTCGTATGGTTACTCCCTTGTAGGTAACTGATTTTCTTTCTCTTGCTGCTTTTAGGATTCTCTCTTTGTCTTTTGCTCTTGGCATTTTAATTATGATGTGTCTTGGTGTGGTCCTCTTTGGATTCCTTTTGTTTGGGGTTCTCTGCGCTTCCTGGACTTGTAAGTCTATTTCTTTCACAAAGTAGGGGAAGTTTTCTGTCATTATTTCTTCAAATAGGTTTTCAATATCTTGCTCTCTCTCTTCTTCTGGCAGCCCTATAATTCGGATGTTGGTACGCTTAAAGCTGTCTCAGAGGCTCCTTACACTATCTTCGTATTTTTGGATTCTTTTTTCATTTTGCTCTTCCGGTTGTGTGTTTTTTGCTTCTTCATATTTCAAATCTTTGACTTGATTCTTGCGATCCTCTGGTCTGCTGTTGGGAGTCTGTATAATATTCTTTATTTCAGTCAGTGTATGCTTAATTTCTAGTTGGTTCTTTATCACAACATCGAGGGTTTCAACAGTCTTCTTGAAGATCTCACTACATTTATCGGTGGTCTCACCAGTCTTCTTGAAGATCTCACTACATTTAGCGGCGGCTTCTAGACAGTTCTTTAAAGACCTTAAAAGTGTGGTTTTGAACTCTATATCCTGCAGTTTGCTTTCCTCCATTTCTGTCATTTGTGTCCTGTTTCTTTGTCTTGGCATTTTTTATGCTTCGCTATGTCGAGAGAGTGCCTTTCTGTGCTAAATGTCCCAATTACCTGAGGTAGACACTCTTGGTGCACCCCCTTGTGGGCTTTGTGCACAGCCTTGTAATTAAGCCTTGATTGTTGTAGTTATCACTGGGAGGAATTGACCTCCAGGCCAATTAGCTGTGAGAATCAGCTGTGTCTGCAGTGGGAGAACTTCTGTGCTGGAGACACCCCTCTGGGGCTAGACTTGCTTCGATGGGGCTTTGGTGCTCACTGAGTCTGCCCCCTGAGTGTGTCTTTTATGGTACCACGGAGCTGCAAACTGGATGGTCCCACTCTGACCTCTGGGCTTTCTGGCTCCTGGATCTCTAGGTAGGTGCTAATCTAGCCTTTGCCTGAGGCTATCCAGCAAAAGTCTCCCTGCAGGGCTTGGGCGGGGCGGGTCCCACGGGATCAGCAGGGCGGGGTTAGCAATTATGGCTGCTCTCAGTCTTGCCCTCAGAGACTCTGCTTCTCAGTGTCCGGGTAAACGCTGCAAGCCCCTCGGAGAGAAAGCTGCCCTCGGGTTCTGACCGATGCCAGACAGTCCCGCTTCTCCCGTATGAGTCTGGGTCCCTAGAGACTCGCCCGGAACTGGAGCTCAGAGCCTGAGACTCCCTCCCAATTGAAAACGACAACCGCACCCTCAGCCGCCAGCCCGCTCCGCACGCACCTCCGCACCTTAGTATTTTACCTCCGCACTGTGCCTCCTCTGAGTCTCGGTATGCTTTTCTCTTTCCTTCTAGTTGTAGAATTTCCACTCAGCCAGCCTTCCTGTGGTTCTGGATGATGTCTGTTCCGTCTTTTAGTTGTATTTTTGAAGTGGTTGTGCGAGGCAGCAATCTCCGGTGTTTACCTATGCCGCCATCTTGGTTTCCCAATCCGTCCTCTAGTTATTAACAGTTCATTAATTGTGGTGCATTTTCCACAATTAATGAACTAGTATTGGAGCGTTATTATAAAGCCCTTAGTTTATTCACATTTCCTTAGTTTTTTTCTAATGTTCTTTTCTGTTCTGGGATCCTATGAAGGTTACCATACCTTCATAACATGGCAGTTGTCATGTCTTCTTAACCTGTTGGCTGGTTAAGAAGACTTTTTTTGTTTTGGATAACTTTGACAGTTTTGAAGAGTACTGGTCAGGTGTTTTGTAGGATGCCTGTATTGGAATTTGTCTACTGTTTTTCTCATGATCAGACTGATGTTATGGGTGTTGGGGAGGAAGATCTCAGAACAAAACTGTCACTCTCATGACAATATTGAGGGACTATGATTTACGACTGTTGATGTTGACCTTGATAATCTGGCTGAAGTAGTGTTTGTCAGGTTTCTCTCCCTGCCCCCTCTCCTTTCCATAGTATATACTTTGGAAGAAAGACACTATACTTAGCCCTCACTCAAGGAATAAGTGTTGGACTATCTGTATAAATTATTTGTAATTCTTCTGCAAGAGGGATTTGTGTCTTCTCTCCCATTTATTCATTTATATCAGTATGGACTGATTATTTTATGATGTAGGTTATGATGCACTCAGGAAAGTTCTATAGCAACGAAATCTCACTTTCCTTAGACTGTATTATTGATGTTCACCAAAGTATATGATACTTTATTACCTTAAGTTAGAAATGCACAAAAAAGGCAATGAATATCATGAGTTTGGTGAAGAATGGTGTCTTTCCAGCTGCAGTGTTAAGCAGACTTTTGAAGGGCAGGTAATTGTTTTGCCATGCACTAGGGCAGGGAGAGTTCAGGTAATGCTCAGGGAATAATGATTATACTTGTGGCTGGTTATGTAGGGCAATGATTTAAATTAATGTTGAGAAAGTTTCTAAGGCAAGGAGAGAAACTCTCCCTTCCCCCCTCCCTTAATCTTTTGTATAATTTATACTTGTTAGATTTGATTTTGAAAGAAGGGTAAAGGTTGCTTAAAAGAAAAATTTGCCGTTGGTTTTGGGAATAGAAGGAAATAGGCTGTTTAGGCTGTGATGAATCTTTAAAATGTATGCATCACCTGTTCTTCCTGTATTATTCTTCCTTTTCTAAAAAATTGCTTAAAATATGTTTTTATTAATTTCAGAGAGATAAAGGAAGAGAGAGATAGAAACATCAATGATAAGAGAAAATCATTGATCAACTGCTTCCTGTACACCCCTACTGGGGATTGAGCCCACAACCCCGGGCATGTGCCCTGACCTGGAATCACACCAAACCGTGACCTCCTGATTCATCGGTTGACGCTCAACTACTGAGCTATACCAGCCAGGCTGCTCTTCCTTTTTTTTTTTTTTTTTTTTTCTTTTTAGCAAGTGCATGGCTTGAGGACTATTCTGGGGAAGATTGATCTGACAGAGGTATAGCGAGGCATCGGCAGTGGGAGGAAACTGGAGGGAAAGAGACCAAGTAAGTAAGGCATGAAGTTTGAGTTTTGAAGCTGACCTGGCAGCAGTGGTAAGAAATATATTATAGAAAATATGGTGGACGAATTATCAGGATTTGGATTTGGGGACAAGAGGAAAAAAATAAGGCAACTAAAGTTTCAAGATAGAAAATGCTATTCTGAAAACTTAGAAATAAAGTCAGTGGTTCTTTGTCAAGCTCCTATTCAGTTTGTTAACTAACAAGTGGGTTAACAGTATGGAATTTCCAAATATGCTCTCCAGTTAAGGTGAGCCAGAATGATCACTTTGGCAAGGCCAAGACTTGATAATGATAGAAATATGCTAACATACTTCAGGGAGAAGTTGCTAACTCTCTCTCTTTTTTTCTTTCTTTTTTTTTTTTTGCTGTTTTCCAACAGAGTTTTAGATTTGGTGTGGAAATAGCTTATGTGGGAGCTACTATCTTGGATGTCTGCAAGAGAGTAAGAAAAAAGACTTTGGTTGGAGGAAGCCATCAGAGTAAGGTTTTCAGTTATTTTTATTTTATTTGCTACAAAAATCAGTTTTCCTCTTTATTTGGATTTGCTGTAAAGTTTATGCTGTCTCCCAAAAGGTAGCATTAGAGGTGATACAAAGGGGCAGGTGGCCCTGCTGTCCCGGACCAATGCCAATGTGTTCGATGAGGCTGTACGGGTGACTGATGGAGAAGTACCTGCAAGGATACATTTGATTGGGGTAAGAGTAAATTTCTGTTGACTGCTTCATGCACAGAAACATTGCAGACAAACACAGCCAATGGAAATGTTCAATTTAGTTAGGATTATTATGCAAGCAAGCATTTGGGTTTTTGACAGTTTTCACCATCTGCACTGTGACTGAAGTCTTTCTCCCTGACTATTCTGATTATGCTAGCCAAGTATTCCTGTACAGTCAGATCCTAAAAAGAACTGAGGATCTCCTACTATTTAAAAAAACAAATGCCCTTCTCACCTTTGGTTGTGCAAATGAGGCTGCTGGCTACCTGCGAATGTTTCGTGTGTGTTGTTCATTAGTGTAAGAACGGGTAAGGTGACAACACAGCTGGGACAGGCTAGTGGGCTCCAGTGGATAGAAAGTGAATACCTAGTTCTAGCTCTGGCTCTGTCACTAACTTTGTGTGGCTTATGGCAAGTCACAACTTCTGTGTGCCTCATTCTCTCCTTCTCTAAGATAAAAATAATGCCTTTTCTTTACCTGTTTCATGGGGAAGTTAGGGTTCGGTGACATTTATATGGCATTTTTAACTCTTTGACTAAAGTTATGTGACTAAAAGAAATTTGCACATTTATTTATGAAAAAATATTTTCAAGGGCCTACTATGTGTAGCCACTCAGTAAATATTGAGTGAATCATAATCACCAAGATGTTCTCACTTCTCTTTCTTATTTATAAAGATTTTATAACTAAGTTATAGGAAAAAATTCAGCCTTAATCTCAGTATTCCATATAATTCTCATTTTTGCTAATTATTTGTTTTTGTCTTTCTAGATGTGTATTTTTACATAATTGTCATTATAGTGTACATTCAAAAGTATGCTGTTTTAACTCAACACATAAGCATTTCTTTCATGTTGCTACTATAATGTCATTACAACATTTCATATAGTGGATATAGCATAATTTAGCTATTTTTCTTATTATAAGAAAATACCAGTAGTTCTTGGGGAGTACCATCTATGCTGGGCATGATATAAAGTAAGTTGCTCTCTTCCCCTCTCTGTATCTGCTCATCACCTGTAGCATGTGTCATTACACATGATCACATCTGGTTTCCAATTATGATTCATACTGTCTTATTTTGGTCTCTGTTCTATGTTAATGTGTATGTGTCCCTTCCCAAAATGATGATAAATCCTTGGAGTGTGGAGCCTTTGACACGTATTTCTTCTGTACTGGGGCCTGATGCTGTGCAAATCCTGGGCCCCCCAGCCAGTGCTCAGTACATGCTTCTAAGTAGAATTGGTCTGAACTGTGACACAGTCAGACCCTCTCCTCCAGGAGCTGATAGCCTTTTAAAACATAATAATCTGGACCTATAGATATTCTCTAGTTCTTTCCTCAAAAGAAATAATGGTAAGTATTCATAGCCCATACTTTGTATTCAAGTATTCTTTGCAACCTTTTCTTATATTCCTGAAAGGTAGATAATTTAAATTGTTCTTTTTTTTTTTTTATAAGAAAAGGTGCAGCTTGTTCTTGCCTTTTTTAAAACAGGAAGAATTTGAGGTAGCATCTAAAACTTAGCATTTGATAATCCTGAATTTTCAGGCTGCATTATAGTCCCGGGCTTTTACACTTGATAAAGTTTCCTGCTTACTATTCTTATACTTTGGGTACAATTTGAGATCTGTTTCCGAGAAACCATCTAATTTCATACTCACATCTCTACAGTTGGTTTACTTTTGTTTTGTTAAGACAAAAACAAAACAAAACACAACAAAAAAACCCAAAAATCCCACCAAAAAAACTTTTTCAGGGGATTAAATCATTTGGATTGGACAGAATCATTGATATTTGGATCCTTCTTCAGCCAGAGGAAGAACGGAAGAAACGTGAGTACCCTCCTGGCCATGGTGCAGTGGACAGAAGCACTGCAATGACAAGGGATGGGAGAAGGACAGGCATATTCTGAGTCAGAGTTTTTAAATTCTGGAGAAGGGTGGAACTAGTGTTGCTCTTTTCCCATCAAGACTGGGATCCCTTAGGCCTCCTGTTTTCAGAGGTACTGATAACTTTTTCCATATCCTTCTCTCAGGAGTCCTAAATTTATTTCTATTGTTGGTCCCTTAGGCTGTCTTCCCTCATCAACTTTTTTGTCTGCCTGGGCAACTTTACCATTGAAACTTCTGCATGTGCCCCAAATGATCATTGCTAACATTTCTATGGCACTTTTCTTTTCATTACTGTGCTATTTCATATCCCTGTGAAGTAGGTAAGGATCTCAAGGGTAGGGCTTTTGGCCCTCAGTTTAGAGATGGAGAGGCTAAAGTACAGGTCATTTCACTGACTTGCCCAGGAACACACATTAGGTTAGTGATGAAGTCAGGACTAGAACCTGGATCTCCCAGCCTTAAGACCATTCACTTATGCTATTGGTTAGGAATGTGTAGCTGCTGCCATTATATGTCAGTGCAGCCTGTATCACATTAACCTGTGTCTGTATTCTCCTTAGGAAACCTCCTTATTAAAGACAGGTTTATTAGAAGATGGGTGCACAAAGAAGGCTTTAGTGGCTTCAAGAGGTATGTGACCGCAGCCGAGGATAAGGAGCTTGAAGCAAAGATTGCTGTTGTTGAAAAGTATAACATCAGGATTCCAGAACTGGTGGAAAGGATAGGAAAATGCCACATAGAAGACTTGGACTTTGCAGGTAAGGAAAAGACTTAGTTCTTCACTTCCCACCAGTAGGAGGAACAGATGCTACTCTCAGGTGTCTCAGGTCTTCCGATGCTTCTTGCCTGTGTGAGTATCATGTGTGACCAAGGGCTGCTTTGTTGTGTTCCTGGCATTGCCTGAGAGAAGGAAACAGAGCTTCCATTCTTTTTTCTTTTTTTTTAAAAATAATTAAATATTTATTGTTCAGATTATTATAGTTGTTTCTCTTTTTCCCCCCCATAGCTCCCCTCCACCCGGTTCCCACCCCGCCCTCTGCCCTCACCGCCCCCCCATTGTCCTCATCCATAGGTGCACGATTTTTGTCCACTCTCTTCCCGCACCCACCACACCCCTTCCCCTCCCCCCCCGTAGAATAGTTAGTCCACTCCCTTTCTATGCTCCTGATTCTATTATAATCACCAGTTTATTCTGTTCAACAGATTATTTATTCACTTGATTTTTAGATTCACTTGTTGATAGATGTGTATTTGTTGTTCATAATTTGTATCTTTACCTTTTTCTTCTTCCTCTTCTTAAAGGATACCTTTCAGCATTTCATATAATACTGGTTTGGTGGTGATGAACTCCTTTAGCTTTTCCTTATCTGTGAAGCTCTTTACCTGGCCTTCACTTCTGAATGATAGCTTTGCTGGATAAAGTAATATTGGTTGTAGGTTCTTGGTATTCATCACTTTGAAAATTTCTTGCCACTGCCTTCTGGCCTGCAAAGTTTCTGTTGAGAAATCAGCTGACAGTTGTATGGGTACTACCTTGTAGGTAACTGACTGTCTTTCTCTTGCTACTTTTAAGATTCTCTCTTTGTCTTTTGCTCTTGGCATTTTAATGATGATGTGTCTTGGTGTGGTCCTCTTTGGATTCCTTTTGTTTTGGGTTCTCTGCGCTTCCTGGACTTGTAAGTCTATTTCTTTCACCAGGTAGGGTAAGTTTTCTGTCATTATTTCTTCAAATAGGTTTTCAATATCTTGCTCTCTCTCTTCTTCTGGCACCCCTATAATTCGGATGTTGGTACGCTTGAAGCTGTCCCAGAGGCTCCTTACACTATCTTCGTATTTTTGGAATCTTTTTTCATTTTTCTTTTCTGGTTGGGTGTTTTTTGCTTCTTCGTATTTCAAATCTTTAACTTGATTCTTGTGATCCTCTAGTCTGCTGTTGGAACCCTGGATAATATCCTTTATTTCAGTCAGTGTATGCTTAATTTCTAGTTGGTCCTTTTTCATACCCTCGATGGTCTCACTAGATTTCTTGAGGATCTCAATACATTTATCGGTGGTCTCACTAAATTTGTCGGCGGTTTCTAGAAAGTTCTTGAAAAACCTTAAAAGTGTGGTTTTGAACTCTATATCCAATAGTTTGCTTTCCTCCATTTCTGTCATTTGTGTCCTGTTTCTTTGTCTCCGCATTTTGGCTGCTTCCCTGTGTTGATAGAGTGGCTTTCTGTGCTAAATGTCCTATAGGGCCCAGTGGCTCAGCCTCCCCAATTACCTGAGGTGGACACTCTTGGTGCACCCCCTTGTGGGCTTTGTGCACAGTCTTGTTGTAGTTAAGCCTTGATTGTTGTAGGTATCACTGGGAGGAATTGACCTCCAGGCCAATTGGCTGTGAGAATCAGCTGTGTCTACAGTGGGAGAACTTCTGTGCTGGAAATACCCCTCCGGGACAAGACTTGCTTCAGTGGGGCTTTGGTGCTCACTGAGTCTGCCCCCTGAATGTGTCCTTTATGGATCCGAGGAGCTGAGATCTGGATGGTCCCACTCTGACCACTGGGCACACTTGCTCCTGGATCTCTAAGGAGGTGCTAATCTAGCCTTTGCCTGAGGCTATCCAGCAGTAGCCAGGTGTGAAGCAATGCAAGTTGCCTGGGGCCTTGGGCCAGTTGCAATTTGTTAGGTAATTTTCAGATTGCAAAGGGCCAGGCCTTTCATATGCAAAAGCCTGCGCACAGCTTGGGCAGGGAGAGGTCCCAGGGGATCAACAGGGTGGAGCAAGCAGCTATGGCTGCCCTCAGAGGCCCCACTTCTCAGTGTCCCGGCAAATGCTGCAAGCACCTCTGAGAGAAAGCCGCCCTCAAGTTCCCACCGATGCCAGACAGTCCAGTTTCTCCCGTATGAGTCTGGGTCCCCAGAGACTCACTCGGAACTGGAGCTCAGAGCTTGAGACTCCCTCCTGATTGAAAGAGACAACTGTGTCCTCAGCCACCAGCCCTCTCCGCATGCACCTCCGTACCTCTGTACTTCCGCACTGCACCTCCTCTGAGTCTCAGTATGCTTTTCTCTTTCCTTCTATTTATAGAATTTCCACTCAGCTAGCCTTCCTGTGGTTTTAGATGATGTCCATTTTGTCTTTTAGTTGTATTCTTGAAGTGGTTGTGCGAGGCAGCAATCTCCGGTGTTTACCTATGCCGCCATCTTGGTTTTTTTCCCTTCCATTCTTCCTTAGAGTTCCTTTGGCTTCTGTTCTGCCTCTAAGCCAGTAGAATTGGACTTTCTAGTCCTAATTCTGCTGCTGTATGACCTTGGGTAAGCCATTCATCCTTCCTCTGGGCCTCTGTTCCTGTGTGTGTGAAACATAGGTGGTGGGCGAGTCACTGTGAACTTTGCAATGTGATTCTAAAATGCACTGACTTACCTGCAACGAATTTTCTGCTTTTCCCCTCATCTTTTTATTCTTTTTTGCTCTCTTTTTTTTTTTTCTGACTGTATTTTCCTCTTTCCCTCTTTTCTCACAAACTTCACACAGGCAGGAAAATAAAGTTAGAGTTTTAAAAAATGTTTTTATTGATTTTAGAGAGAGAGGAAGGCAAAATTAGAGGTTGCTTTTTTTCTTTGTTTTTTTTTTTAAATATATTTTTATTGATTTCAGACAGGAAGGGAGAGGGACAGAGAGATAGAAACAATGAGAGAGAATGATTGATTGGCTGCCTCCTGCACACCCCACAATGGGGATCGAAGCCTGAAACACAGGGCATGTGCCCTGTCCGGGAATTTGAATTGTGACCTCCTGGTTCATAGGTTAATGGCTCAACCATTGAGCCACACTGGGGTGGACTAAAGTTAGAAGTTTTAATTTGTATATTAGGAAGAGTATATTTTCTCCCCCTTCCTTTTCTGTTCTTCTTCCTTATCTTTGACCCCCTTCTAATGCCATGGTGGAATTTCTATTCCCAAA